CCTTTCCCAGTCTTAAAGTGGCTTTGTACAGATGAACTTTATCTTTAAACTTTGCCCTAGCTCTTGGTTGTCTCTTGAACCATTATGACTGTCTAAGGAGTCTGATTTATTCTTGACAGGTCCCAGTTTTTGAAGGTATGCCAAGAACTGTCCGTGTTCCAAAGGGGGGAATCTCAGTCAGCACCTAGTTTTAGGCTGATTGGAAGCCAGACCCTCAGGCAGCAGCTTTTAGAATATGCAAATACATACAGTCCTATGAAACAAGTATAGACTCTCTTAATGTAAGCGATCTGACTGTCCCCTGAGTGACAGTTGCAAAAACTGGAGCTTCAGACCATTGCATAAGCTCCTTTCTGGGAGGCCCTGGCAAACAGTAATGAGGCTAAGGGAAAGCACAAAGATGGCATCTCCTTGCCTATATTCCCTGAGAGCACATTTGTAAGCCTCTACATATGTGGCAGACCTGAAGTCTGCCCCTCAGGCTGAAGTGTCAGAACAAGTAAATAGGCCTTTTTCACAAACAGACTGGGGGTGTGTTTCAGTCTGCTGTCTGTGCAGTGCCCTGGGGGTGACAGCCTATCGAGAACTGTCTCTCCATTTATTACAGGCCCATGGAACCCAGGAAAAACAACCATGCCTGCCCATGGTATCTAGGTAGAGCAAGAGTGCAAAATAGTACACACCAGCACATCTGTCCCCAGACAGAGTCCCAACTGGTCCCTGCCCCTCCAGCAGATGCTTTAAGATTAGAAAATAAATTTTCACATATAGTCTAGGTGCTTTTCAAACTGCTGCTTTTGTGCTGGTTCCTGAGTGAGTCTGCATGCAAGCCCTTTCCGAGAAATATCTCAGTTCTACTATATAGCCTTTTGGGTCTCCTGGTTGTGAGATCCATTTTCCATCTGGTTTTCAAAGCTAGATGTTTGGAGGGCTCATCTCTTCACTGCAGGTCCCAGGGATTGCGGTGCCTGATGTGGGGCATAAACCCCTCATTCATCAAGGAGAAGCTCCAGATTTGTGAGATTCCTCCCAACTGTGGGTCACCACTCTGGCAGTGGGGTTTTTGGTGGGACTGTCTCACACGTGACCCTCTTACTGCTTTGATGTGAAGAAGCTATTCAGCTAGTTCTCAGGTCTTTTTCAGAGGGAATTTTTCCATATGTAGCTGTAGATTTGGTATGTCCATGGGAGGAGCTGAGTACACCCACCATCTTGGACCACCCCCCTAACATTTCCTATTATATCTGTTTTCTTAAACTTGTATAGTTCAACAGTTTATTTCCAAATTATCCTTGTTTGGAACAGATAAGTTCTTATTCTTATAGACTGTATTTTGAGAGCTTTCCCTACACTCTGAATAACTACACAGTTGAAGACTGGTGGATAAGAAGATAGTCTTTTGATAACTGAACATGATAAACATATCAACTCCTAATCCTCTCAAAGAGCAGGTCAAATAATTCAGTTCCCTGCAAAAAGCATATAATAGGTAGCCTCTACATATTATTGTTGGCAATCAATGTTAATCAGTGTGTTTACTAGTAGGACAATGTGTCATATTACTTGGTAATACCTCTGACCCAAATAAAGAGTTAAGCTGATTATAGGACATACGTTCGTTTGCCTAATTTATTCAACAAATGTTGATTTGGTACCTGCAGAAGGCACTAAGCCAAAGTAAATACATAAAAGAAAAAACAAAATAATATGGAGCAAAAGGATAACCACCTCCCAGGTGCTTGTGTCAACATTACCCCAACACAATGGTACTTGTGGGCCTTAAGAGCTAATAACCAAGACACACTGTATCTATGAGAGCAAAGCATTTTCCATGGAAATGGATATTTTGCAATTGATCAGGAACTTCTAAAAGCTGATAACCATTCTTTAGAAGTAATCCCTGAAGAAAAAAAGAAAAACACAGTAATTTCTGCAAATAAAGCCCAGTGTTATATATCTTTTTAATCCAATTTAATAATACGAGGTCAACTTCAAAGCTGTGCTTTAAAAATATAATATATAAAAAAGTGTCCTTGCAATATAGAACTCAGTTCCTTTAACAAATTCCCCCATCTGGGCAACACAGTTGATGATGCTTTTATAATGAAAGAAGTAGGACATTAAAGAAAACTAATGTCTTTTAGGATGCCAACACAGTTTACAGTGTGTTAATGAGCTCCAGGCAAAGTAAATGTCAATGGGGTACTGATGATTCCCAACTATATGCTAGCTGAATCATTAAATGGATGTCATCTGTGAGTTATGAATGATAAAAATATAATATAAGAAATGATGATCCCAATGATCATTTGTAAAGGATGATAGCTATAATTTACCTCCACTTGAATGAGAGGTCCTAAGCCTGTGACAATAGTGAAACACCTACACAGCTGCTAACTAATGTGAGGCAATTAAAAATAGGATGGACAAAACTGAAAAACTAAAATCACAACTAAAAGTAAGGTACCACCTCAAAGGAAATGGTATTGCCATGTTTACGATAAGCATCAAACTGACTTTTAGAACACACAAACATCATTGCCGCTTTAATCAGGTTTATATAAAGGAAGGGTTTCAAATTTCATCAAGAGAGATGAGGCAGATCTTCAGTCCCAAGCAAATTTGTATTTAGTTTGAAGAGATTACCGAGCTTGTCAAAGTCAGCCTTTTCAACTACACATAGCAAAAGTGCCCCTTCCAAATATGAAAAATTATCAAGATATATTGATGTTTTTCTGTTGTTATACTAGCTAAAATAAGTTGATACTTGAGACATTTGTAAATCCACTTGAAATTTAGGTCCTTATAGATATAGTACAGTTAAAAAAAAATCCTAACATGCCTACGAAATAGAATCCTAATTGTGAAAGATCCTTATCCCACAACATAAACATTCCTTCAGCATGGTAGGCTCTCTTAGCCTTGGCTCATTTCCATTTGGGATTCGTTTTGTTCAGTATCATATACATTCATTACAATACAGAACATATAATGTGATCACTATTTATGATTTACTTACTATCTGTTATCCACTGGTACTTGTTAGCTCAAAACGTCTTCCATGGAGAGATATACATAATAAATAATAGCTCAGGTTAGATTAGCAAGGCTGAAGACACATAAGACACATGCTTCATTGTCAGAAAAATGCTGGAAAAAAACCCTACTATCCCTTAAGTTTCCTCTCATATTGTTAAGATGGGATCACCATGTGAACTAGACACATATTCCTTCTGGATAATGAAAGTGAGAAGGATATCTGCCTTCCACTAAAGGACACTATAAATATCCCTTTCAGAAAGGCAAGCTATCTGCTCCTTTGAAGTAAATATCCCCATGCAGCCCCAAACGGGAATCTTTGATGTCATTCTGCAACCCTGATAATTCCACTCCTGGTCTCAAATCTCTCGTCTGGTCTATTTTGATTTATACCAATACAACGCCAGTAAACTTCAAAAGTAGTGGTATCTTAGGGGCATTGTAATTTCACTTTAACCAAGTGATAAAACCAAAATTAAACATGACAAACTCCTAAAGACAGACAAACCCCATAAGTACCCTAAATGTATAGCTCCAGATTAATAGTTTTTGATATTTAAACACAGTGTTTGTACTCTTCTGAAGTAAAGGACCCAAAGGAAAACACACCTTACTATCTATCAGCCTCTTTGTCTAAGTCTTGCCTGGTTCATTCAGAAATCTCTAAGAGCAATAATTTAATACCTTAAAGCATGACATCATACTGGTGAATCTTCAACCCAGTTTCAAATAAAGAAAAGCATCCACCATAACCATCCTCTATAAAATTGCAACCCACACCTGTACTCTCAGGCCTCTTTCCCTGCTCTCCTTATTCATTTTTCATAGCACAATTTTCTAACACGATAATCAAATATGTTTATTGTCAGTCATTCTTCTCTAGAATATAAGCTCCAGAGGGAAGAGATCTTTGTCTATTTTGTTCACGTACATATCCCAAACACCTGGACAGGACCTGATGCAAGGTAGTCACTCAATATTTGTCGAATGAATGAGTGAATTCACATTGAGAATTTAGTACAAAATACGCTCTGAATATAAGGGAAACAGAGCATACACATACAAATACATAATACCAGACAGTGGTAAGTGCTACAGAGCCAAAGAGAACAACAGGGTAAGAGGCTGGAGAGACAGCCAGCAGTGGCTATTTTAAATGAGGAAGCCACCTCTCTAAAGTGAAGGCAATTGAGGCTTGAATGAAGGTGGGTGCCATACACACTGGGTGGACGAGGAAAGTGGGCTTTGAGGATGGCGTAATTAGCAAATGCCTAGGCTCTAGGCTGGAGGCCCACTTGGGCCCAAAGAGGCCTGCATGGTGGAAGTGGGGTGTGCAAGAATGTATCATTTCAATTGCCTTTACTTACTACTTAATAACATGTACAAACTGCCCAATGCCCTGGGAAATAGATTACCTTTCACCTAGAGTACTCAGATTCCCTGATAGTAAGTGCTTCTTCTACTTACTAGCCCCCAAATGTCCGTTATCAGCACACCATATAAGATTACAAGGCACAGTAATGACATCGTCAAAAACCGTTCCAAGTAGCCTCAGGAGTCACGAAACTGACTTAACTCAGTACCACTGCGCAGAAAGGTGTAAAGCCAAGCAGGAACTTGGTACTAGAAGTGTGCAAAGCCAGGAGGCTCAGTAAACATTAAACAGTGCCTGTCATTGGAGTCTGGGGGGAAAGAGCGTCAAGCCTAAGCAGTTTCATTCACCTCTAAGAAAGACTAAGTCGCCAAGCGCGGTACGAGGCAGCGCTGTGACATGCATTTTGTGACAATCCTGGACTCGAGTTGTTCTGACATTTTATGTAACTTCCCAAAGAACAAAAACAAAAAGTTCGCTCTGAACTCGCCTTCCAACTCAGACAGGAAGTTCCTCCTCGGCCAAGGCGGGGCGCTTGGAAAGTTTTCAGCGGCTAAAAACCTGTTTCCGGGGCTGAGCGGAGCAATACCTTCCGGCTTAAAATAAAGGTTTTCGGTGATTCCTCCTATGCCTCCACAGCAGCTTCGCCTAGCTTAGCCACACTTTCTGCGCTGTCCCCTCGACAACAGGACCAAATGTCGGAGGCACAACACTGAGTTAGCGAGCTGGTTCGGGGCCGGGAGCTAGGTGAATGGGTTTTCAGAACGCCAGCCGCGGGTCGAGGCGACTAAAACGAAAACCACAGCAGCCTACGCGGGGCGAAGAGGGGAGTGGGAAGGCGAAACTCTGAGGCAGGCGCCGCAGCCACAGCCCGGGGCGCCGCTCCGCCTCACCCGCCGGAGGCGGGTAAGCCTCCGGGCAGGCGTTGCCACACGCGACCCTCGCAACGCGCACCACATCCGCCCGCAGGCTCGCACATGCGCAGCGCCGCCCGGGCCCCGCGGCCTGGGTGGGGAGACAATCCCAGAGTTCCGCGCCCAGCCCCCGCCAGGGGGTGTGCGCACGCGCGGCAACGCCTAGGTCCTAGGCCCGGGCGGGGGTGTAACTCCGGGGGCTGCTCTCCAACCGTCGCCGCGTTCGAGAACTTGGACAGCGGGGGCGGGGAGAAGTGGCCCGCCGCCGGGGGATCTGAGGGCTGCCTGCTGCAAGCCTGACGTACCCTCTTGACTTCCTACACCATCCTGTCCCCTTACCTCAGCGTAGGCCCGAGCCGCATCCGCTCCGCTTTCTGGGTCGCCGTTACTGCTCGGTCGAGGGCCCGGCGCAGCGACGAGTTGGCGCCTCCCCCTGAAGCAGCCTGGCCTCGGCGGGTTGCGCTCGGGTGCCAGGCCGGGGAGGGGAAGGGAGGACAGCGCACTGGAGGGGAGGGGGCCGGCGACGGCGCCTTGCCTCGCCCCTCCTTTCCTCCTCCGGCTGCCCGCTACCGCCCCCGCCCCTTCCTTGCCGACTCCCCCTCTCGGAGCGGACCCCACGACTGCATCTCGCCTCCCTCGCTGGGTCCATCTCCGCTTTGTGGGGCACCCCTCTCCTCCGCTCGGGTTCTGGTTCCCAAAGTCTTGGGAATTTGCAAGGGTGAGGCGTGTAAATTGTAGTGTGGGCAACCTTTTCTACAGTTATCCCCCCAGCCGGTCCACCATCAGGGAGCTCAAATCACGTCTTCACGCGGTTTCCCCCTGTTTGCCCCTCTGGGCTGTGGAGCCAAAGTCCTGTGCTCTCCTAATAAGAATGCTGAAATAATGACTGATTTGTCGTGGGGTGACCTGGGACCGAGGTCCTCTGGAACAACCGCACTTTACGTTTATTAATTTAGTTAATGTGTTGTATTACACTGCTCCTCTATTGGCCTCAGCAGACTTTAGTAAAATGCACCACATGTAATATAATTACAATGTGCAATAATTTCTTGCACTTTACACTTAAATTGACCTGAGTGGGTTTTGGTAAAATGCTCCACAATTAATCTTATTAGCTGTTCCTGGGAGGTAAGCTGAATGCCTTTACACTGGCTTGTAAATGAGGGCACAGGTTCAACGTTTAAATGATTTGCCAAAAAGTAGCACAGCCAGATAGAAATGTCAATCCCGAGTGATTCTGTCGTCTTGTTTGATCTGGCCTTTGTCATTCACCGGAAAAACATCATTCCAGAAAGTCTGTTTTTATTGCAGTTGCTGTCGTTGGCAGACATTTATGTCTATTATCACAGCATACTACATTGAACCCCAGAAGGAGACTTGCATTTATTTACTTGATTTTATAGGTTATGAGCAGGGGCAGGAGTCACATACATTTCACTGCCTAAGATTAAGCTTTTCCCCTGAAACAATCAGTTACCTTTTGTCCTTTTGTTATAAAAGGTAACATAACCATAACTGAAAGGACAGCTTGGATTTTTTTACTTGAAAAGGATAATTATAAGGAACTCCTTCCAGAGTATTTATCTAAGGGAGAGGGTTGCCAGACTAAGTAGTGAGATAAGGTGGGGTTATCACTAAACAGACCTTCCTTCTCTTATTTGTGATGTTTATATCTCATTAGATTGTGAAACTCTTAAGAGCAAGATATGCCTTATTTCTGTACCATAAAATGTGTAATAAATGTTTGTGGAATCAAATTACATTGATTACATGCCCTTTAGTTCCTCAAATATGCATCCATACTCCATTAAGAGACCTACACATAAGCATGAATCCATGGTTTACTCTCATTTTAGATAGTTTGTGCCAATTCTCCTGGGCCTGACTGCCTGGATAAGCTGACTTTTTAAGAGAGGTTGGTATCTAATCCAAAAAGGCTTTAGGTCATCTTTTCTTATACCCTCATCAGGTCTCTCATTCCTCTCCTTGTGGCAAAGCTGTGTAACACTGAGTCTGCATAAAAAAAATCCACTGACTTGTTTTTCTGTTCAGGAAAAGGTTTTTCCTCTGGTCACCACCAAAGCTAAAATTCATCATTAAACAAGTTTAGAGTTGGTTCATTAAACAGGAATTCTTTCTAATTCAAACAGTCAAATTCTCCTTCCACCTTTTTCCTGTATCCAGACTACTTTGTATTTCAGGAATTTGTATTTTAAGGAATTTGAGTGACCATTTAGAGAGCAAAATTACAGAAAACCACTTCCATTCATAATATAGTGCATAATTTACAAATCAACCTATATAGTATTTCTTTCCCTGCAGGTATGATACTCCTTTACAAATTAATATTTTAAGATTTAGGTATTTTAGAAATAAAAGTTCTTAGTTCTTAGGACTTGTTAAAAGTCCTAAGATTATTCCTAAATAATAATAATAATAATAATAATAATAAAAATAAGACATTTTATTTACACTTTCTCCAATTTCTACCACGAAACATCTTGTTAATAGGGAACTTAATGTTAAGATGTGATTGCAGCAAGAATGATCAGAGCAAAGGATTCAACAGGTTTAGTCCCACAATACAGAAGGGGAAATTTCCTGTAACAAATCTAATACCTAGAGCAGTTGGAATGTGGGAAGAAACTTTAAAAATTTTTTTCAGATGTTTATTTATTTCTGAGAGAGAGACAGAGTGAGAGCAGGGGAGGGGCATTGAGAGAGAGGGAGACACATAATCTGAAGCAGGCTCCAGGCTCTGAGCTGTCAGCACAGAGCCCCATGCAGGGCTCAAACTCATGAACCATGAGATCATTACCTGAGCTGAAGTCAGACGCTTAACCAACTAAACCACTCAGGCACCCCCAAGAAACGTTTAGAATATCTCCATTTTAATCTAAATTAAGAAATCAAACTTTACTAATATTTAACATGTACATTGACAATAGTGCGTATTTTTTGTAATCAAAATACAAGACCAAAAATGTTTAGAGGCCACTCACTTTAGAGTACCACCAGGCAGGCATCTGATTTCACTACATGTTTTGACTCTGTAATATTTTAAATACAATAATTTGGATGCATACAACATTTTAAATATAATAATCATGAAATGTATATAATAGTTAAAAATTTACCTTTGTTATACTATGCAGTAAGTAAATGTTTATTCTTTAATCACTTTTAACATGAGATACTTACTTAAATCTTGGTAAATTTGCATTATCATAGAGCTGAGAGATTAAATATAAATCCTCATTTTATCGATGCCCAGATTATGAAGTAAATTATCTCAAGTCTTTGGATTCTGAGTTTCATTGCTTTTTCCAATCCATCATCCCACTCATAGGATAAATAGCAGGATCTCATTATCCATCAAATGAAGGATAACAACAAAGCCATTGCACAAGGTGAAAAGGTACAGATTTTTCTCATAAAACTTTAAGTGGAAGAAATTCTTTTTAACTTCTTACTTTAAAGTAATTATAGATTCACATCAAGTTACAAAAATAGTACAAAGATGTCCCATACACCTGCCCCACTTTCCCTCCACTATGTTTAAGATAATAATATATACTGCAAACACTAAGAGCAAAGACTTGAATTGAATCAGCTGACCAAACTCTGAGAAAACCAACTGGCCAGGAACTGAAGGTTGAAAAGGACTGGTTTGCAGCAAGGAGTCTGAATGATGGGAGCTGTTCCAGCGGAAAGAAGGAGGGGAAAGGGAGAGGGGAAGAAGACCATTAAACACAACACATTCCTTAGAAGAGAAGTGATAGCCTCTGTACTAGATATATGTTTTTTATGGTTTTCTTTTTGGTCTATTATTTCATAATTTATCATTTCTTTTAAATATTCCAGATAATGTCATCACTACTATAACCTATATCCCTACACATCATAGCTTAGAAATACAGCTAGGTTGCAAAAAAAAGTAACTTTCTGACTCTATCATCTAAGGGCAACCTTGTAGGAATATTAGCCCTCCTTAAAGCACGTAGGGGCTGGGAAAACGGGGTGTTCGAGTATAATTATATAGACATCATGTAGCATCCTCCTCCTTTGCCACTTCTGAGTGAGGACAGGTGACTCTCCTGGGGTCCTGGCTCCTCCTAGTTGTGTGGGAGAGAGTAAGCGCCCAGGCCACTCTAATGTGGAAGGCACAAAGACGGTCCAGCTCTCTGTATTTTAGAGAGATGTCAGTTACACTGTGCCTTTACAGACACTTCCTCTTAACCATGGTATGTGACATGGTATATCCCAGCACAGTGCTAGAATACAAAGCAACGAAGATGATAGGATACATGTACATGTTACCGTGGCAGCAATAAGAGAACAACAAACCATTAGGAGGAGGTCAATTAAGGCTTTCCAAAAGAAAAAAACTTTTGGCGTTAAGTTTTAAGGATGTTTACAAGTTAGCTGAGAGAACAAAGTTACAGATGGGGATGTTAGGGAAGGGAAACATTCTAAGAATCTGAAAGAGTATGATGTATTCGAGAATTTTAATCTGTTCTGCTCGGCAAAGCAGGAACAAAGGCTATGTGGAGAGGATAGAGTAATGGGAAAAGATTAAAGTAGCCGTAATTTTCTGAGTGCTTTCTTGGGCTGTGCTTTTTATAGTACATTACCCTAATCTTTACAATAAACTGCAACTTAATTTTGGCCTTGTTTTACAGATGAAACAGTGGAGACTTAACTAACTTGCTAGGGTCACATAACTAGTAAGAGGTGAGGCTAGCACTCAAATCCATCTCTGATTCCAATCTGAAGCTCTTCCCACTTGACCATGTGGGCTCTTTTCAAATGAACTGGAAAAGTAAATGGGCCAAATAATAAAAGCCCTTGGCAATGCAACAGTAAGACATATCACAGAATCCAACAAAAAATTTTAAGCAAAAGGATGACATACTGACCTTTGTGTTGAGGAGGCTCCCTATTTTGTAGTGGGGAAAATGGTGAGGTTGGGGCCAGGGGACCATGTTAAGACTCTATCCAGTCAGTCCAGGCAGAACATCAAGAGTGCTTGAACTCAATGCGAG